CTAGATGAGGTTAGTAGTTTTAACTTGTTTTTAATTTTTTTCTCTCGAAATTTTGAATCAGATAAAGAATAAGCTATTTTACTAAGGAAAATGCGATGGAAAGCCCTACTCTATACTCAATCATTCGTCTTCAGAAAATCTGAGCCATATCTGTGGTACTATTGTAGGCCGATCGTATGATTGACATGGGCTTTGAACCTGATGTTCAGAAGATCTTGGAGCATCTTCCAGTGAGCAACGTCAAACCTGATTCAGAAGATGCCGAGGATCCAGAAAAGCTGTTAGCTTATATGGGAAAGGACAAGTTTAGACAGGTTCGTATAAATAAATAAATAAATAAATTTATTTATTGATTTCTTAATTAAACCGCGGGCTCAGTGTTTCTGTGTTTTTAGACTGGGGCGCTTGTTAGAATTAGGAGGGGCTTAAAGAATTTTCACGGTTCACATGAAGTTGCCTTTAATATAATAGTGAACTTACGCAACAGGACGGGAAAGGAAAGGAGATGGCAAACCTTGTGTGACAAGCGTGACAATTTTGTTTTAAAAAACAGACCAGAAAACATTAATGATAAGGGAAGACCACGACAACACTCCCAAGCAATAGCCCTGTCACGTTTGTCACACAACCGTTTTGCCGTCCTCTTCTTCCTGCAGTCCTGCTGCGTAAACTCACTAATAACTGTTTGTAGCCTTCGTGTTTGGTTTGTTTCAACAACGAAAATAGGAGATGTCTCGTCGAGGAGATGAAGTTGTGACTGTAGTCAGTGGACACTACTAGAATGCAGTGTAACCACCAGTTGAACTTTTGAACAATATCACTAAAGACCTGTGAACTGAGATTAGTATCATTGGCTTTTCTGTTTCACCTTTTTTTAGACTGTAATGTTTACGGCGACAATGCCTCCACAAGTAGAACGCTTGGCCAGAAACTATCTAAGGTCAGTTATCGGTTTTACTGTTTACTGAAACTGTGTTTTCTAGATAGATGTGCTTCATTGGCGATCTATCCGCATACAAAGCCGCTCACATTAATTATAAATAACTAAATAATAAATAATTCCGGTATATACCCCCGGTAGATTTCGAGCAGTCTCTCTTTATTCTTGGTCGGTCGAGCAAAACGCGCGTGACTAAAGGCGCGAGACGGGAGAGGCATGAAAAAAGAGAGACTCTCTTTTATCTTCTCGGGCTGCCGCAGTCGTTTCTAGCGTCTCGCTCGAAGCTCGCGCGCGTGCATTTTCCTCCATAAATCTGAAGACAAAGAGAGACTGCTCGCATTCTAACCCCCCAGCAATGTTTACCGCGCAAGGCTGGTGAGACCGAGCAAACGACTGAAAGAAAGTAGGTCAAAAAGACCATTTCCGTACTCGAAAATCCCTCACTTTAAAAAAGCGAGGCCGTGTGCATGACCCCATTTGTGAAAATGAATTTAATTTGCTTGAGAATTAAAAAATCGTTTTCATATCAGAGACTTTCACACTTAGCTTCGTTTTAAAACAGAGGCTTGGGACAACTTGGAATTTGCCCATACACGTAACGTAACGTAACAAGACTAACTGCATAGAGGCAAATCAGTTGGATATTTACAACCTTGGTTGAGGATTTGAACAAATCCAGCAGGCGATTAGGGTGGGTATTGAACCCATGGTCTTCGGATAGCAAGTCCAACGCCTTAACCGCTCTGCCACGCTGCCGCCTACCCTTGAATCCCCAATATCAGCACCCATATTCCAGTTCTCATCATATTTATCATCACCTGTACGTTTAAGCAGTGATACGTTATGGAGCAATTAGATGCTGATCTACATCATAAAACGAGGAGCATTGACGAATAATTCTTTGCTAAAAGGCAATCTTAAGTGACTGGGAACCTAACATTGTGATGGTTTATTTTTCTTTCAGGCGCCCAGCTGTGGTTTACATCGGTTCTATAGGTAACAAGTCTGTTTTAACCCTCCTTGAACGGGATATACAGTGTAACGGGGATCTTTCTGTTCCTTTTTTTTCCCTTTGCTGGATTATGACGGTCACACATCGCTCATTGACGCTGCATATCCAACCAATTTTACACCATACTGAATTATGCCAGGGATGATTTCCTGAAAACTAGCTTACCACGTTATGAGCTAAACTGCAGTTGTCAGGTTCATCTTGCGAGCCTGGTTCCTCAAAAGATATCAGTTTAGTTTAACCCAGGGTAAAACCTAATTTTAAGCAAAGTTTTCTTGTTGGAGGTTTTGAAATATTGTCCAGGTTATTAAAGCGGGCAGCTCTACTGTTTGTATTTCTGTATTAAAGTAATTCAATTTTCTCTCATCACTTCACAGGCAGACCAGTCGAGAGAGTGGAACAGAAAGTTTATTTGGTTAAAGAACAAGCAAAGAGGTACGCCTGCGTGTATCATCTCTTATATATTTATTAAACTGTAGCAATGTAAAAAAAATATATTTTCGCGAGATTAATTGCGGTGTACTGTAGTTTTTTACTTCGAGGTCACATTATATCTAACTGTTTCCCGCCAAAATCTCTTAGCAGGCAACATTGCAAAATATATGACGCCAGAGGGTAACAGTGCACTGTTACCTGCGAACGTTGAGGTTTAATGAATTTCAAGCTATATAGCAAATCACTTCGGGAAACAGTTAATTTTGTTTCCGTTGAATCTCAATGTCGTCCTCGGCTTATTAGGAAATAATATTAGCTGCTTCGCTTGGAACCAGTCATTTTAAAAGTGTTTATTGTTGTTTCCTTGACAGGAAGAAGTTGTTAGAGATACTGAACGCTGGCATTGATCCTCCGATCATGATATTTGTCAATCAAAAGAAGGTGAGAGTTGCGTGTCACCGCAGCTGATAGTTGAGATGACGTGCAAAAACAACCCACGGAAATTGAGCGGAGAGCGAGGGCGGAGCTCTCATGCACTGACTCCCTCCTTGTTTTCGTTTAGTCCGCGTGGAAGGCGTTTGAAGGGGATAAGGTGGACGAGATGGCTACGCGAGGAAGGAGGGAAGCCATCGCGCGAATTTCATGTACTCGCGTGCCTTACTCCCCCTTTTCCCGTCTTCAATGCTGGCTAGTCTTTGTTCGCCCCTTTAGTTTCGTCCGTTGTTTCTACCTGAGATCTTGCGACAGGCTGTCAGGGACCTTTAGGCTATAATCACACTATACCGGACAGAGTTTGCCCCAGCACAAAAACCGTACCGGACAGGACTTCTGTTCGCACATAAGAACGGTGATTTCGGAGCGGTTTCTGTAACAAGCGAAGCTGTGTCACGCCGATCTCTTAAGTGGAAAGTCACATATCGGATAAGTTTTCGTACTACACCGGATACCTTCTCGCTTCGGCACGAAAAGCTGTCCGTTATAGTATGAATACAGCCTCAGATTCGATTACGAGTAGGAGATTGAGTAGGAGCTTTCAAACCAAGTTCATGAGCTCAAGATAAACACTTTTCACAACAATCTTTTAAGTCTTCTCTACGTTTTGTTAGCAGCAGGAAAGAGAGAGAGCCCTGACAACATAAATGGCTTGAAATTCTAATGTCGCACTCATAGTCGCTGATCACGCACTCCGAGTCAAATCTAAAGGTTGCTTACCGTTGCTTATGAGACGACATATCTGTAATAATGTTTTGCTGATTAACTCTTTTTCCGTCTGTCTTAGGGAGCGGACGTGCTCGCCAAGTCCCTGGAAAAAATGGGCGTAAGTTATCGTTTGTGGCGTTGGGCGTGGGTGATTTTATATCTTTTCTCTTCGATGTAGGCTATGGTTTTGTTGTAATTTGTTTTACCAAACGAACTTTAACCTGCGAGCAAGCTCTCCATTGGGGTTGGGTCGCGAGAAGTCACGCGAGAGCAGCACGCTCCTGCGTTCTCTCGCCATACATGGAGAGTTTGCTAGCGAGCTAAACGAACTTGAGTGAAGCAGTGGCTGCTTGAACGCCATTGCGGATCACTAAAGTTGTTTTTATATAAGGGTGTTTTGTGCCAGTTAAAACGAGCAAATTCTGTTTTGGTCGTCAGTTTTGGCTGACAGCGTATAAGGCGGATCGTGAACACTCGGGGCAAACGTTTTTCACTGTCATTCTTAAAGTGCCTGGTTTGCCCACTATTTGATTTCATCCACGATCGTTTTTATCCTTTTGTTTCTTCAGTTACATACCTCCCGTTTTTTAATTTTCGTTCCCGACAGCGGGCACATACATAACTTCCTGAATTTTTTCTTACAGTTCCGTGCTACAACACTCCACGGTGGACGAAACCAAGAACAAAGGTGAGGTTTAGATGTAACCTCTTCTTGTTATTTCGTCGTCATGGTTGTTAAATGTCTGTTTTGTAAATCTAGAGAGGCCCCGAGAGTATAGGAAACTAAGAAAACAAGGGCCTGAACAAGGGTATTGGACGGATGGAAGGATGTTTCAGTGAAATTCCCGACTGTTTTGTACACCAGTGTTGCCGTTTTTTACCTGAAGTTATGATCGTCGCAGTGGTAGTTGTAATTTAAGCAATTACAAATATGTATAAACCCGAAAAAAAAATTCGGGACTTCATCGAACCCATGGCCTCTGCGTTAGCGCTGCAGTGCTCTACCATTTGAGCTATGAAGACCCATATATTTGGAGAAGGCCAATTTGTTGAGTTCACCTTCACCGGTGAAAAGAATGAAACATGAAAGACGATGTGAATAAATTTTATGGAGATATGATCGTCGAAGTGGTAGTTGCAATTTAGGCAATAACAAATAAACCCGAAAAAAAAAAACGTTTTTAGGTTAAACAGCTCTGTCAACGATAATCTTCGATCGGGCCCTTCCTTTTTTAGCAAGCACGACGAGCCCGCTGTCGTTTGCTTGATTAAACCTTGCAAACATTTTTGCCATGCATCTCTACACTCAGTTTCATTAGTTCGTCAACTGAGTCGAACATACGCGGTTACGTAACATCTGCATCTTAATTCTGAACCTGTCATAAAGATTCATTTTGTTGGTTTTCTTTCAGAGAGTTTGCATTGTCGAGTCTTAAAGCTGGTGCTAAGGACATCCTTGTGGCCACTGATGTAGCCGGTCGTGGTATTGACATCAAGTAAGTTGCATGATAAACAGTTTGATTTCTTTGTTCTCTTGTTTTTGTTGTCTCCAGGCCTGAAGATGATTTTCTTAAACTCATTTTCAAACCCAACCTGGAGACCGGTTAATCGGAGAGAACCCTGGGAACGTGGTTGATTGTCAAAGTAATGAAGTTTTTTTTTTTTTTAACTAAATGTGTGTCTTATAGCGCAAGTAAAATCTCTCAAAGTTGATTTTTTCATTTCATTTCTCTTCCAGGGATGTTTCACTTGTCCTTAACTATGACATGGCCAAGTCAATCGAAGGTAAGTGATGAGTTTAACGTTGAAACCTTAAGCTTAAAGTAAAAGTAATTCATCGAGACGAACGGTGTTGATAATCGTATCTTACGATATACAAACTTTATTAAGTACGGAGTTAACCAGTATGTAATGCGTTTAATTTTGTCTCATTTCTTCATCCATGGATTGTACACTTTCGGTTTTATTTATTATATTATTGTAATTCTTTGACAATTTTAAACGGTTATTTTGATGTTTCAGTCAAATTATGTCTATTCTGTGAGTGCTGGAATAGACCTTATTCACGATACGCGCCATCTCACGAGCGAAAGGATTTATGGGATAAAGGAAATATCGTGTGGTTTCTAAGGAGCCAAAAAACTTATTAAAAGCTGTCAATAAAAGAAATCGCAGCCGAGTTCGTTTATTCCCTCAGATGAGAAACCACGTGACATCCCATCCCATCAACCTTGCGCGCTTCTAAAGGTGGCGGGTATTATGAAGAAGGTCTATTGCCTAAATTTACGGAAGCCACCACATGGCCAGTGCCCTATGGCTGCTAAAATGTCATTGTTTTCGTTTTTTATCAGGCTACACTCATCGTATTGGTAGAACCGGTCGAGCAGGAAAAACCGGTGTTGCCATCACGTTTTTGACCCAGGAGGACTCAGCAGTGTTTTATGACCTCAAGCAGACATTATTAGCGAGTCCCGTAAGTACAATGCTTTCAATTTTACAGAGCGTCAAAAAACCCATTTTTCCACTCACTGAAAGTTGATTCGACTATAACTAACTGATTTATGTTCTTGCAAATCTTGTATATTGTTTATTAATTTTATTGTTCATATCTGAGACTGAATTGGGTTAAAATGTTTATTCTTGTTTGCCCAAAATTTAACATTTAATTTAAAATATTTGGTTAAAAGGGTTATAGTGTCTTAGGCGAAAATTGAGTGTTACAGGGCCAATGTAGTGCTCTAAATCTTTAACCAGGCGCTCGTTACGTATCAGACTAATTTTCGTATTTACTATTAATTTATGTATAAGCGAATGGATTCTTAGTCGTGCTATGGCGAATAACAAGCAAAAAACACTAACATGAACAGTTGTCAGCGGTTATGACATGGGGGAGGGGTACATTGTCTTTAGTAAATGGCTTATTTCTGTGTCGTTTATAGGTGAGCCACTGTCCTCCGGAGCTTGATAAACATCCTGATGCACAGCACAAACCCGGCACAGTGCTTACAAAGAAGAGAAAGGAAGAAACCATTTTTGTATAAATAACTAAATAACTCCAGTATTTGCAAGGCCGGAAGCCGCTTTTTATGGCTGTGAAAATAGTAAAACAATCAAGGGTATAAAGCTATGAAGTAAATAAACAAAATTTTGAAATATTTATCAGTAATATCTTTTAAAACCTTTTCAGAGCATGAATGAGCAATTTATGCATTATTCTTTATTCTTTGAGATGCTAGCATCGGAGCCTCCAACGTATGACTGAAACAAAGAGTTTGGCTGGGCGGAATTTTAGACGTCTCAACAGTTTTAAGGTTTTATAGAACTTGCTCCTGTTGATTTTCAAGCAATCTTTTTCTAGCCTGTTCCAGGCTCTTACGTTGATGTTACACGGAACGATTCGTGGCGACGATTTTTAGCGCAGCATTACAACATTGTTGCGACGTTGTTTCGAATAGTTGCAACATTGCAACGCAGTGTCGCGCTAAAAGTCGTCGTTGCGAATCGTCTCGCGTAGCATCACCTTTAGATAGTAGTAGCCTGAGTACGTAGCAGGCGCTTGCAAGTAATGGGCGGAAGAAAGAACGGGGCGCGCGAGAGAGACACGCGAGGGGAGAGGGTGTCTCCCTTGCGCGCCCCGTTCTTTCCTGCGCCCATTACTTCCAAGCGCCTGACTGCTACGCAGGCTAAGGTAGTAGGGATGACGTAATCTCGCACCCAGTTGTCCCGCGTAAGTGAAAAACACGCGAAAATATGAGCGCGTGATCTGGGAAATTGGGCGGTGGCGGGAAAAAGGAAGCCCTTCCTCTCCCCAGTTTTCTCTCGTTTTTTAATTATTATTATTTTCTATTTTTTTATTGTCATTTTTTATTTTTATGTTCGCGCTTTCTCAATTTCGCGGAACCGACTATCTCGGAGCCAGGAACAGGCTTTCTTATTCTTTCTCTGTGGCCCCAGGGTGATGATAGTAAATTTAGTACTTGTACTAAAAATGTTTGACCTCTCAAACAGACTTTGATAAAATAACAAACACTCTTTCAGTGCACCAAAACTGCAATAGTATTTTGACTTACGTGGAAACACTGGTTAAAAATGGACTTCCGTTATTTTGTGGACATAGCGACAAGACTAAAATTATATACACCATAAGAAAAGAGAACTTTTTCATAGTCTGAAATTAAAATGAACATACACTGAGAAAAGAATGCATCTTGAAATCTAGCAGTTGGCAGAACTTGCCATGGGTGAGAATACTCATTAATAACAATTTTTAGGGCTTTTTTTGTCCTTATCTGTCGATAGAAGAAGGCAAAATTTTGAGCAATATGCAACAACTTCGGTCAAAAACACTTGCTTCAACGTTTCTAATGCCCTCGATATTGCGAGTACAATAGCACAATAGTAAAAAAACATTCGCAATGTAAATTGTCGCCGAAAACTGGAGTAGCTTTCATATATAGAATTAGTCCTTTATATCTATTTTGCTGAGATGACGTACGCACAATCTTCAGTTTCAAATGTCGCTTTAAATCCAGACACAGAATCAAACGTTTTGTTGAAAGAGATATGCTTCATAGCAGGAGCCCATCAAATTTGGTGGGCTCTTGTCCATAGCTAATACCAATACAGTTTTCCTGAACGTAGCGGTTTTGCGATTGCTTTTTAAAATTCTTTTTCGTCTTAGTGAAAAGAACTCGCACCACAATCGCCAGAACCTTGTCACAACATTGCTTCTTAAAATTTAACGCTAACAACAGCACGTGCAGGGCATTTTATGTCGAAGCTGGCGACACGTCATGAGTTTTTAAATCAGCTTTAAATCTTATGACTTATGACAACATATTGCATATCATACAGCAATGATTGTGGTGTTTATTAATAGAAAGTACGTGCCGATCGTTTTCAAAGTCTGGCGGGTGGAGCGAACAATGGCTCTGAAGTGGTGGCTTTTGTGGTCTGTGATTCAATGTTCGGTAGAGTTGAAGGGTACATTGTAGCGTCGCTCTTTTTAGCCACACCTCGCTGATTCCCAGCAGTGCACTCGCACCTGGAAACTAAGGAAACAAGATCAAGTCAGAATCAATCAGCAAGAAGGAAACTCGTAACCGACTACCTCTAGCTGCTAATAGTGGTGTGCAATTTTATTGGAAGGTGATACCCACATGCAAGCAATCCGAAACTGAGTGATTTGTGAGACAAAGATTTTCACAAAAGTTCTCCAGTACTCACGGAGCGATTTGTGGCTGCGACGTGTCGCCACAACATCATTTGCTACAAGTTGTCGCCTAGTGTGTACCGACTCCTTAACGCATCGGAGTTGCATCCTGGAGAAAGTAGGCAAAACTCATTCGAATACGCCAAGGAACATTCAATTTGCTGCGCAATTTATACGTAAGACTCGTTCGATAACATCTTTTTACAAAATAACAAAAACACGCGTCCACCTCACGCTTCATGCTCCTCCGCATGAAACAACATGCCCTGCATCCCACCACCCCCCAAAAACCGGTTTGTACCAGTTTGTCTAACCACCCTACTGGGAGGTCGCCATTTTCATTAGTTCTCCTCCTTGCATTCATGGGATGCCACCATTTTGAATGATTTTGTTCAAGCATCCTCGAAATACTACTCAGCAGTATCCACCAGACGGCCCTTCCAAAAAATGCTGCCTTTGAATTCTAACTGATATTTGCCTGAACAAACAAAGCTATTCTGCTTTAACTATCTTTAAATAGAAACAGAAGCTCATGCATTGTTTTGCTTACCTTTTTCTTCCAACTCCATGACTATGGCAGTCAGCATTTTCATCTGATCTTTAAGAGCGGTTAAATCTTCAGGCTGAAAATACAAAAAGACCTTTTTGTTACCACGCGTCATGTCTACCAAAAAGATACTTTTTGTAGGCTCTCTGTGAGTAGCAAATTGAAATGATGTTAAATGTCGCTATTTCCGAAAGAAAAAGTGCAATGCAGAACAATTACAATAATCTTTTCAAAAGGCTTCAAAGCGAAAAAGCGGAGTTTTCGGCATGCAATACTTCCGCCATATTAGCCTAAGCTTTTTTAAATTTTACTAACAACGCTGCGCCAGAAAAAATCATTTAGTCGATTCACAGCAAGATTTGTAATAGCAGGCGTTAGGGAGTAAATGGGCTAGATTTGTAAATGGGAGAGGCTCATTTTTTACCTGGGCAGGAAAGCATTTTAGCTTTCCAAAATCTTGAATTCAGGATTTTGGAGGATTAACTCTAACTCCACGAATTAACTTTACGGAATTAACTCTGAGAATAGCCGTCCCCGATCGTTTTGCTGGATGACCAAGTACATTTACGCATAGGCCTTTCAGTAATTTAAAACTAAGATCGTCTTTTTAAAACTCACCGAGGCTCCGATAGCTGGGCGGCCAGGTTCTCCCGCTGGACCCGGAAGTCCAGGGGGTCCTCGTGGTCCTTGTATCGATTCTCCAAGTTCCCCCTTTAAACCCGGGGGTCCAATGGGTCCTGTAGATCCAGGTAGTCCCGGGTCTCCGGTCACCACTGTCGTGGTACCCGGCTCGCCGGGATCTCCTTTCTCGCCTTTCTGGACTCTTAAACGACGTGATTGCCCTGAAAGTAACAAAAACAAAAACAATCAATTTATATTCGCTTTTCTACGCTTAAGTGCAGACTAGGAATGTTAATGCATTATCCTACCCACCTTGGACTCCGTTTAAACCTGGAGGCCCTGGATCTCCGGTTTCCCCTCGTCTCCCGGGGGGCCCGGGGGGTCCGGGTGGCCCGCGAGGTCCCGGTGGACCTCTTGAGATTTCGCTGTCCTGAACTATCGCCTCGGCAGGAGCTTTTTGACTTTTCTTTTAAAAATAAACAAAAAATGGGCTTCTTTAACCTTCGACCATGAAAAGAGTCTGTAAGTTATGTAAGTTACAAGGCGTCCATTGCATGCATGCTAGAGGTAGGTTTGGTCTAAAATTTGAAACGGCGAAACAAACACCACAAATCAAAGAGTTCGGTTACTGGTTATCTACAAATCTGAATCAACCAATAAATAAACAAAAGAAAATCAAAGCAAAAGGCAGTTTCTAACGGAACATCCCAAAAAATGAAACTACATTTGTATTTTCAGCTGAGCTCAAAGACATAGTGACAGTCTTTTTTAAAAAGAGAAGAGCCACTTCAGTTGGTCGGCATCTTGGTACATGCTGAGCTTCAGTCTAAACGCGGGTTACCTGCCAGTCACCTGGCTCGTCTGTTAACCGGCGAGCAAGCTCTCCGAGAAGTCACGCGCGAGCGACATACGTAATGACGCGCGACAGCGACGCGCGGGCACTTTATCATTTTGTTAGTTTTACTCATGTTTTCCCTTGAAATTCCATCTTCGTACATTACTAACCTGTTCCAAGGCTTTTAACCTGGCTTCCAGCAGAAGAAACTTGGTGCAATTAAAACAGGCTGTTGAAACAGAAGCACTCCAGTTGATGGCTTGATGTAAATGAAAATGAAAATCTTAGTTGCAACCGACTTTGATAGAATATCACCCACCTTGACTGCAATCTTTTCCTGTGAAGCCGGGACAACAGTCTTTGACCGACGTAATCACTGTTCTCACCTCTATTTTATACTGCGGACGATAGATTACCCTGAAAATACAGTCGAACCTCGTATAAGTGACGCTATAAATGCGACGCGGTAGCTCAAGAGAGGTGGTCGCTTACGACAGTTACGAGAATAGATCCACGGGGCTCTTTTTCCAAATACAGCCGGTGTAGCTGGTGGGATTATTATGCGCGGGGATTTTCTTGGCGGCGGAGGATTTTCGGTGACTTGCTCCCAAACTTCAGGCGGCTCAGCCGCCAAAAAAAAAAAAAAAACAGTACTCCCCGCTATTCCCGCATGTTACGCAGGCTATTCCGAGTAGAGGAGTGGTATCAACATATTAAATTTGGCAAGAGAATTTATTACATGCAATTTACGAAATACACAGTTCCTTGTTGTCAGTAGCAGTTTTTTCTATATGTATACTATGAGTATCGTAGTGCATACAGCAAAATCTAAGATTTCAGACCATGCTTCAACTGAGGTTTAAAACGATGGAAAGTCATAAAACTGATGCTCGGTTACGAGAGGTGATCGTTAACGGTAGGTTTCAGCTGTAGCCGAGCTTTGTAGTGCTCTGGGAAACTGGTCGTACATGGAGTTTCAAAGATGGACTCAAAACCACTACTATTGACAACAAAAACAAACGCAAATAATGCAATAGAGGCATCAAAAGCTGCGGGAAGACAAAAAATTACAAGCGCGGGAAAACTTGCTAATTTTAGCGTGAGAATCTGTGAAAACTGTGTTGTCAAGGGCGGGAAATAATGCAACCAGTGTCACGGGCCATAACAGGCAATCAAGTGCTAACCAAATGTCTTCTACTTGTCTTCTTCGGGGAAGCCTGTTCCAGGGGTTCAGATTTCGGGAACGGCGTGAAGAGATGTGAGCAGGGAACAGCGACCCGCTCTTTGACTTTGTGCCCCAGCCCACTATCTGAACGGTACAGGTTGTTTTCTGTGCAGTCACTTGGCCCTAGTCACGCAACGCTTCCCGTCCACACGCGGTACGTGACTTCGGACCGAGTAGCTGGAGGCGGGAAAAGTCAAGGCCCGTAAAATGTAACCAAGTGTCAAACCAGTGTCACACGTCATGGATCGTGCAACCAAGTCTTAGGCGCAGGAAACAATGGGGAACACAAAGAAATAACCATTCACTTCTTTTTCAAAAAAAGTAAGCATGTAGAACTTGAATTCAAATAATGAATCATTTGCGCGCACGTCTTTTACGTTTGTTCATGGTCTAACTCAGTAATAATAATTACACACCTGTGACCAGTGCAAACTTTTTGCTGAGATTGTGTTCCACAATAGCACTTGAACTGGTGGGTTACTCTTTTCATGTGCGCTACATTACAAGTCACTTGCTTGGGTTTCTGGTAAATACAGTACTGTCCGCTAGAGGCCGAGGTACCCGGGGATGGTGCCTGGGTACTAGGCTCTTGGCTTTGTATTTGAGGACTTGGTGCCTTGACACCGGTACGTCTGTACAGTGGTAGCTTGTTCGAAGGATCGAGTACCAGCCTTTTTGATTGGAAACCGTGTTGGCTGCAACCGATTTCAGAAATGGCTATTATATCACTTTATCACTTTCACTTTGTTCAACAATATTAAAAATTGTTTTTAGAGGAGTCGCATTCCCCTTCTCCTTTCTGGTGGGGAGGAGGCAGGGAAATTCGAATACCCTAAAAACGAGGCGGTTGCACTCTCTCCTCCCCAGAGACTCCGCCTGGGTTTTAGTGAGCGCGTTGTGGACGACAGGAAGAGGAGTTCCCCTTCCCGTCGTCCCCTGCGCGCTTTTTTTCCGTCTACGACACAAAGAACCTCTGAAGAGGGCGAGAGATCGTGCGAGAGTCGTTTGTAACAAAGGCAAGGAACAATCATAATGATTTATTTTTTCTTGCGTAAAATGCTATTATAAGCGCTCAAAACAAAGAGGTTGTACTAAAGTCTAACTTTAAGGCCAAAATTTATATTCTCTACTCCCAAAAAGCGCTTAGAATAAGTGGAGACAGAAATTAAAAGGGATATTAATTGTAAGTGACTCAGTCATATATATGTATAAGACCTACATGAAAATCTATTCTGTGTAAAAAGTAGTGGTAGATATCAATAGTGACAGAAAAAAGATATCTTTTCTTTCCTGAAATCAGTGGTCTTATCTATATTATCCTGTGTAGCTGTCCGCAATCGATACTTTCAGGGAGGTCATAATATCATAATTTATCTATCTTCAAGAGATAACAACAAGTAATTACCCTCCTTTTAGTTTCGTGGCTATGACAGATTACATCGGTGGTTAACAAGAGTCTGACAGTGCAAATAGCCGTGTGACTTTTCGATTTTCTTTTAAAAAGTTAGCAGGGACGACCAGTTGGGGTTGGTTCATGTAAAACGCTCCAGAGTTGCGGTCTTTGTACTGTTCGCGTAATTAGTTTCTACGAGCAGCAAGCATTTCTACGGAAAAACAGCTAACTTATTCCACAAGAGTCTTGTGTTGGCTAATTCGTAGCGCTCCGATAGGGCTCTAAAATTTCACTTTTTCCGTTTTATGATCGAGTGCAGTTTTGAGTTGAGTGAGGAAGAGCTCAGTGTGACAACTTTGATGGAGGAGGGTCTTCAATAGGTTTTTTGGGATCCGGGACTTGCCTCATTTGAAGGCAGGGATTGAGGATTAAACCGGGGAACACTGGGGAGTAGGGAACGGAAAAAAAATTGAGTCGAGACAGGATTGTAAAACCCGGCATCGGGACCATGCGCGGATTTAGAGGATGGCCGAGAGGGCGTCTCCACCCCGCCCCCCCCTTTTTTTCTGTTGATTTTTGTATTACTTTTACAATTACGGCAGCAAAATAAAAGGAATCCATATAGCTGGCAAGTTTCCCGGCCACCTCTATCTGAATTTTCTGGATCCGACCCTGCGGAATCTCATAAAGATGACGTTTTCGCGCCAAATACAAACTTTTCCAGAACAAAGACTCTTGAACATTTCGTCTGATTTTAGAGCCAAAACAAAACAAAATTTCCGGCAAAAACAATAATAGTCACAAAAAGTCAAATTCCTAGTGTCATCTCCCTTTAGCGATTGTTTCTTTTCGTCCGGAAATCTGACTCAGCTGGCTCATATCAGTATTCCATACAGTTCTGTTCAATTACGCCACACGGCGTGATTACAGGAGTGATAGGTTGAATTATTCTTTTCGTATTTCCCCGAGTCAAAAGGATATCGAGTATTAAACAATTTATTTTTCTCCTCTTTCGTCACGAAATAATGAAACTTTACTGTCGCATGTCAAAGGTTGGAAGTTAGGTACGCTAAAAAAGACAAACCTGAATCTGTAATGTTTCCAGAAACTGAAACTCTGATGATTTATGGCGCCGGGTTTATTCTGTCATAACCAGCGATAATCACACACTTTTGTACTCATCAGTTCCATTCACGAAAAAGCATAAGTCAGTTTTTTCAAGGCCCCGCATGTCTTGTAATGCTACCTTAGAGGTTACAGAATGTTGCAGGACATATGACAGGCCTTGTGCATATGATGCTGACCACACTACGTTTGATATTGCGTGAATTCAAGATTTGCGTGAACTGTAGTTGCGTCGCACCTTCTTTGTTTTTATGGAAGATAGACTCTGGCAGGCGTCATTAAAAACACTTTATTTTGGTGCGAATTTTCGCGCCTTGGTGTCAATATGAAAGTAATTATCTCCTGAAACGTTTCAGTCACCGCAAGAAAGTTTGATCTTTATTTTGGGAAAAAGGAAACTCGCGAGTTAACTTATACAAAACAGCAAGACGTAACAATTTTAATCCTTTTTTCAATGCGTCTGAGTTTACGATGAGCTGAAAAACATGCTTTACTGAGTTGAATATTAAGCCAGTTAAAATTTACATCTCAGAACTTTCAAGGGGACGCTTACTAAGTTTAGGAAGAACGGTCATTTTTATATCACACCAAGAATAAACCGCACTCTGTAATAAGCTTACCTTTGGGCGTACGGATTGTTGTAGCTGTAGAGGGGAAGATGTCTGCTTGAGTGTGACCTTGAAACTCCACGAAAACCAGCAACAGAAGCTAAAACTGCCGTGATAAAAATTGTGCTCTCCGCAATTTTCATGCTGTAAACTTTCCCGCGTCAAGTCAGAAGTCAGAAAAATTCTAGACTACAATATTCCAGAAAGTAAGATCTGCTACGATCTCACAACCATCCACTTAGACTTCGGGAAATTTGCTATTACCGTATGTCAAGTTGCTGACTCGCCGCTGAGAGCCGTTTTCTGTCCAAGAGCCTGAGGCGTTATTCTCGATTTATAACAGTCGAAAGTGATGACAAAATAATTAGAACACAGTTTTGATCAGCTAGATAACAAAAGGGCGGCAAGCGACCATAGCTGAAGCGAGCGATTTGATATCCGAAGTAATGAACTGGGATTTCCGGTCTTAGGTGAGAACTAATAAACTCAGGCTTGGAAGGTGTCCAGTTCAAGTATGCACGGAAATTATACTAAAAGTATAAAGAAAGTACATGAAACTAACTCTTTCACTAAAGAAAACGGCTTGAGTCCAGATGAGCTCATCTTTTTCCCGACAGATTAACGCCAAGAATTTTAATTCTCTTTCACGGACAGGCATTTCAATTCTCATAAACATACCCAGCCAAATATTCCAGCGACGTCTTTTTTCTTATCTTTCTAATCCAAAACTGGGCGGATCGGAGTTATTTGAAGAGATAAATGTTCATGATATTTCTAAAAAGACCAGCCCATACCTAGCTGTCACCTGTTTGTCAATAGGCATTTCTAAATTTTTAATTTACCGGTAATTAGAAAAAAACGAAGGATCATATCATTCTCAGTCAAAGTTATAATTGTTGCGATAATTTCAACAAAATTTATTCGTTTCTCGTTTGATAAACTCGCTCGTACTCACAAGATCGCTCGCTCTTTCTCTCCTCGTGTTCTAGTGCCAAAACCGGTCCCGACCGGTTCGGCTTACGTCACACACGCACCACAGGAACCCCATTTCGGGTCCGACACTCTCCCCCTATTTGATACACGCAAGTGGAGCAAATATAATCACACAGCTCCATGCTTATATAACAGCAACAGTTTTAAAGCGTTCTAATAGTTCGTGACTCCGCAAGTCACTGAATCAGTTCTCGCAAAAGGAGCAAATCGAACATACAGCTCCATGGGCTTAACAGTTCTAACAGATTTAACAGCTCTAACAGTTCATGACCCCACTCGTCCCTGGGTCTGTTCACTTGTTCTCTTGCTCTGCAATCTCTCTGATCCGCTTCGCCGCAGCTACAGCAGCTCGTCTAGGGGCGAACTCTCTGGCTCGAGGATTAAGCTGCACCGAATTTCTCAACTGTGTGTCCCGTACGTCGCACGACAGCTCCATTGGACATAGCTGTTGGATTGCTCGCTCCAAGTAGGACTTCCCCGCTCTCAACCTCGCTGCTCGGACGACGCCGTCACGCCCCTTGATGAGTTTCACTACAACTCCAATGTTCCACTTTCCACGGTTGCGCTCCTCACTCTGAATTAGCACCACATCTCCAACTTTCAGTGTCAGTACCTTGGTCTTATGTTTGAGATTGTGTCTCTCCCTCAAACTTCTGATGTATTCTGTAGTCCACCTTGACCACAGAATGTCCTTGCAGCGACGGAGGTATCTTGTCCTCTTACGTAGCTCCACATCCTCCACTGACTCTGCATCCTCCTCTGGCAGGAGGTTAGGTAGCCCGTGCATCATGACGTTTGGCGTTAGCACCGGAAGTTCAACATCATCTTCAACATAGGATAACGGGCGGTTATTGACGGCCACCTCCACCTCAAGCACAACTTCTTCAAGCTCTCCGAATGTCAGGTACGCTCGTCCCATAGATTTGTAAAATGACTGTTTCACAACTCCAACCAACCGTTCAAATTGACCGCCCCACCATGGGGCTCTGGCGAGGTTAAACTGCCAAAGGATGTTGTGGTGGGCCAGATAGTCTTGCAATTTCTCCTCCCTCATAACACTCTTGAGCCACCTGGATGCAGCCACAAAACTTCTTCCATTGTCCGAATAAATCTTCGTAGGCCTCCCCCGTCTCGCAATGAAATGTTTCAAACATCTGATGAAACCAGCAGTGGTCTGGTCAGTTAGTAACTCTAAATGGACCGCTCTCGTTAGACTGCATGCGAACAGTAAAATGTATGCCTTGCCTTCTTTCTTCTTCGAAATCTTGTAAGTTATGGGCCCGGCGTAGTCCACCCCTACTACTTGGAACGGAAATGTCCCCTCTGTACGATCCACTGGTAAGTTTCCAGGCGGTGGATTTTGGAGCTTTGTCACGTGGAACTTCTTACACCCATAGCAGTGGTTAACCACGTTCTTCGCCAGTTGCCGGAGACGGGGAATCCAATACTCTTGTCTCACATGCGCCATCGTTAGGCCGACTCCCCCGTGTAGCGTCAAGATGTGGGCGTCTTGCACCATTTTTTCTGATAAGACTACCCTGGGTGGCAAATACACCGGATAATGTCCTTGAATTCTTCCTCTGCACACATAGATTCCTTGGTCATTCTTCTGAAGGTTGAGCCTTTCTTGGTCTTCCAGAAATTTGTCTGTTACACTGTGTCTCTGCTGCTCCCGCCTTATCCACCACTTGACCTGTATCTCCGTCTCAGCTGTTGTCAAGGGTCCGCTTACTCGGTTCCACTTCTTGCTCCGGCAATTTTGAAGGAATCTCATGACCCATGCACTGATTCTGATCGTTCGCCAGAAGGTATGCCTTTCCAGCACTTCATCGAGTCGTCCCTCGCCTCCACTGCCACTGCAAACACCTCCTTAGTAAGCTTAGCTTCTTCTTCCGTTTCTTTGTTAGGCTCTGTCACTACGTCTCCCGGCCACTCCTCTGGCTTGGACAACCATTGTGGTCCCGGCAACCACACATTACACAGCTGATCTGCCTTGCAGCCTCTGCTTCCTATGTCGGCTGGGTTGTGTTTGGAGTCGACATGTCTCCATTCAATGTAATCTTTGTCGTTGATCTTGCGGACTCTGTTGGCCACAAACTGTTTGTAAGTACCTCCCCCCTTGATCCAGTGGAGTGCGACAGTACTGTCACTCCACCCATGGACTGACTTGATTGGATATCCTTCAAGTGCGACTCTCACGTTCTCCACGAGGTTAGCGGCCATGTGAGCGGACACAAGTTCCAATCTTGGAATTGTAAGATTCTTCTTTGCTAATCTTGACTTTGCTGCTATTAAGCCCTTGCTCACCCCGGAGGCTTGCGTAATCACTGCATAGACGGCCGCTGATGTACCAACTCCACTTGTGTCACCGAATACATGCAACTGGACTCCTCCGATCGGCTCCTTGAACCTTGGTATGCTCCGCAGTACTTCAACCTTGTTGGGGAGGCTCCTCACAAACTTCAGCCACTCTTGTCCAATTCTGTCTGACAGTTTCTCATCCCACGGTAGTCGACTGTCGCATACTTCGCGGTATAGAAGCTTTCCCACTAATGTTGTGGGCGACGCTAGACCAAGCGGGTCGTACACCGCAGCTAAGAATCGTAGCATTCCTCTCTTAGTGTTATCAACAGGTTCCTCAGGGAAAGTCACTGCAATTGTGTCCTCTCTCTTGTTCCACGGCAAACCCAATATCTTGGATTCACCTTCCTTAACTCCCAACTGTTGCTTTGCGTAACTCTGCTGTTCATCAACAGGCACCCCATTCTCACCGTCTAGCTGAGGCTCGTGCACCGGAACAACATTCTCACTCTCTAGCTGAGGCTCGTTGGAGTTCCACTTGTGCATGGTAAACTTAGCATCCCCAAACACTGATATGATCGTCTTCTTCAGGTCCTGAACCTCTTCTTTGGTGTTGCCCCCCGTGATGACGTCATCAACGTATAGACTCCTCAAGATCTCGTCTACCTCCACTGGGTATTTCTCTCTTAGGCTTTGCAAGTGCAACTTTAGTGTTCCCGCCAACAAGAATGGCGACTGGACCAACCCGAAGAGCGCTCGCGTGAATCTCAAGGCTTCAATAACTGAAGGGTCCTTGTTCTTGAGCCAGTGGAAACGTAGTGCATCCCGGTCTTCAGGTCTTATGCGTACTTGTAAGAAGGCTTGTTTGATGTCAGCTGCTAAGGCTACTGGCTTTAGGCGATTTCGCACAAGTACGTTCCACAACAGATTCTGCAAGGGAGGCCCCGTTTCTAAGCACTCGTTTAACGACGGACTATCTTCACTTGGCTTAGCCGATGCGTCAAATACAATTCTGAGTTTTGTGGTCACGGCAGTTTCCTTTTTCACTGGTTTGTGAGGGATGTAAAATACTCTCTCGTTTGGCTCGTCTACAACTCTCTCAACTATCCCTTCAGTGAGTTGCTCTTGGATGATCTCATCGTACTTGTCTATCAGACCAGGCTCTCTATGCAACTTCCTCACTAGACCTTGTAGTCTCCTGATACTTCCGCGTTCGTTCGATTGCAGGTGATCGTGACCCGGCTTCCATAGCAAACCCGATTCGTACCAACCTTCGTCACTTCGGTTCAGTTGCTCAGAGAATTCGGCAAACACGTTTTGCTGGTCTGCTTCTGGTCTATCTGCGAGTCCTAAAACATCTAAAGAGCAGAGTTGTTCGTAGTCCGCTGCCGATGTTTTCGTCAAATAAACGTTGGATAGCGCGGCTTCTCCCCTGTGGACATCATCGTCCACCCCAGCATAGTGAACTCAGCAATGGGCTCAGACGGCTGACCAATTCTAGGTTTTGTCTCAGTTTTGATCCTTGAGTACTCGCTGGCGCCGAGTATCACATGAATGGGTAACTCACTCTTCTTGTCATCGTCATCCATGACCACTCCCTGCAGGTGACGATACTTGCTGATCAGTTCTCCATAATTCGGATTTGGGACTGTAAGTAGAACACCCTTGTCCACCTTATTGATCTTCGTCATCATCTCAAACTTCCCATCAACACTTTTAACCGTTACTGAATACCCTTGTACCTTTTGAACTGTTGAGCAAAGCATCATGTCAATCTGTCTATGTTCGATATGAGTTGGTCGCTTGTTAAGCCGCTCAATCAGAGCCGCTGACGCATAAGAACTACCCG